TATCTTGTGGCACAGCTCCCACTTTTCCTTGTCCCTACCGCAAAGTAAGGTATCTTGTGGCACAGCTCCCACTTTTCCTTGCGCAACATTCATTTCAGGCAAATTTTATTTCAAATGCAGATAGCCAGCAGTTGCTGGCTAATATATGCTAAGCAAATTCAATGCAACACAGCATAGGCCACATCGTGCATAAAAATATCAGTAAAATAGCTGCTTACCAGGCTATAAAAAAAGCATAGATAAGTCAGTTTCTAGCATTTAAACCGTTGTAAAGTACAGACAAAATCAGAGTAAGAGTCTAAATTATGAATTTTATCTTCTACAGGAGTGAAATTTATGCAAAAAGCCATTTCTTCAGACCTCATAATAGCTTCCGAACACAGTAGGAAATACCAGCCAAGCTTTTAAGATGGTGCTCATTAAGCCCCTGCAAATTCACCCACATTTGGGTAGGGGCGGGGAAAGATAAGCAGAACCAATTGTGTCAGTCAGTCAAACAGGATTCACATAGTTTAGGACTACCCATCACAAGCAAGCATTTCATAGGGAAAAATGAGAGCAGACGAGAAGACATTTATTTTACTAGAGGACAGAGAAAGAAGCAAAGAATAAAAATCCCTAGGAAACTGGGCCTCCTCATTTTCATTCCTTAGAGAAGAACATATTCTGTTAAATCAGGCTGAAAATTACATATTGTCTTTTTGGTTTTCTTGGGCAACTCCCAAAGTACTTAATGATAGGTTTGAAAAATGAGGCCTTTGATCGTGGACCTTTTTGCCTGCAGAGAGACCAAAATGCCATGAAACAATGGCAGATTTTTCAGCCTAGTCCTTTTCTGTAGGAGACAAGGGATTAATTTAAGTACTTAGAGGCTCTAATTTTATTTCTACTGCACCAAGTATGTACTAGTCTGAAGGAAAAGTTGATAAAGATCAAATTTTTCCTGAGATTCTTCTCTCAGTTTTTAAAGTCTCAACCAGTAATTGTTTTTAAAAATATGTGGAGAACAAAAAATCATAATTTTTTACCCTCTTAGGCATTGGTTTCTGTTTTATTGCAGACGTTCACACACACAATGGCTGTACACAGTTTGGATAAAATAACCAAGAAAGCTATTGATCAGCTTTCAGTTCTTTTTAAAACAGCAAGCATCCTCCTATCGATTGTCATAAATATATCACCCCTAGAAAGAACAACTCATGCTCACTTTGTAAACCATATGGGGAAGTTTACAAAATGGGGTGGTTTTGAAGATAGGGCAATCTTTTTGTGTAAATTTGTTGTATTGTCTCAAATACATTTAGTAATTAGAATGTATTTTGTATACTATTTCCATAATCAGATTTGGGATTTATCAAATCCAGCCTGGAAAGACAGGGAAGAACGTCTCTTTCCTAGCCTTTGGTTTACTTCAGTATAGAACATTAGCAAGGTGAATGCTAGTTGTGGTGATAAAAAAATGTGAACATTCCCATCTGTTTTAGCGTTCACAGGATGAAGGCCTTTGCAACTAGTGAGCAAAGTATACTGGAACTAAAATTATAAACCAGCATCCAATGTAGAGAAAAATAAGCACTGGCTCTCAGAAAGGAAAAGAGCTCTGAGGAAACCAAAAGAAAGCTGGAGTAGCATGTATCATTCATATAATATTAGTGTCTGTGGTTTTACTTTTTACTGTGACCCTTTATTGTTGTCACATGATGATCAGCAAGAGTCATCCACTCAAAGGTTCATTAATGCTGTCTTCAGATTTCTGCCTTTATTTGTCTCCACAGTATAGCTCAAACTGAAATTGCTATAGCAATTACAACAATTCAAGTTCATGCCTTAAGTAGAGATCAGGGGAAGCTACTGCAGTGTAAAATCTGGATTGATACAGTCTCTAGCATATATACTGCTCAGAGCTGCTGAGGCACAGGGAATAATATTCTGCATTTTAAAGAGTTCTTGGTCGAGTTGTGACCCCTCTTCAATAAAATCCTCCCTTTGCCTGTATATGTGCAGCCTTAGCTGGCACCATCCTTTTATTTCAAGGCTCTATATATTTAAATAATAAGGGAAAGA